TGTCTCCACATGCAGTGTGCAGTGCACACCTGGTGAGCCCAAAAGGTCCAAAGAAGGCTCAAACCCATTGTCCATTCCCTGTCTCATCAGTCAACAGATACACAGACTGTACCATCCATAAACAGTAGGTCTGGCCCCACAGCAGCAGCAGGATTTAGCCTACAGCTCTCCCCTCAAGTGAATTATGTAGCTTGTCCTTCTGGAACAGCTAGAGCCAAAGATTATATGGAGGAGAGCTGAAAAATAAGGTTTGAAAAGAGATACTTGGGAACTCAAAAATTAAAATGAAGAGGTGGAAGGTTATATAGATTACCCAGCAGTGAGATCATTTGGAGGCATTCATATGCAGTGGAATTTAATTCTGGCAGAATCCACCCATATGTATCATCACAATGTTGCACCACTGCATGTGCCAATACAAAAATGGAATTCTGGTACTACAGATTATCTTTGAACTCAGAAGCCTGACACTCAGTACTGAGTTTAGATATGTTTATGTGCAAGCCTAGGACACAACTGTCTGCGTGATAACTTTGATTAAATGAACCGCTATAATTGTTACATTCTTATGGGCTGTTTTCACTCTCAGCAAGAATCAGTCAAATTTGCCATGACATATCTAGTGACTGAAAACCCTTGTCACTCTATAACACCAGATAAAGGATACCTTTTAAATTTCCTGTTGGACTTGTCACTTATGTGTCATTAAACATAAGAAAAATATTTCACAAAAAACCCAAATTAATTTTGCACTTCTTTTTCCAGACACAACAAAAAATGAAGTTAAATAATTTGGTTCAAACTGGCTCTTCTTCACAAGAATGTTTTTTAAAGGTTAATGCATTGTGCATTTTGAAAAATAGTTCCCAGAAAGATGTTTTATAAACCATGGGGACAGTAACATATAAACCATATGTCATTTCAATCCTTTTGTGACATTTTGATATGCCAGCTTCATTGCATGCTCAAAACCCACAACTTCCAGGAGACTTTTCCCTGTCTTACAGTTTTTGCCCTGCCACCCTACTGCTACCAAAGGCAGGAAGGGAGAGGGCAGCACAAAAGTTTGAAGTTTGGCTGTTGCAATATAATAACTGTGATACATTGCAATAACTCCACATTGTTTTAACTGTTTGACACTAGTAAATGAAAACACATGCTCAGCTTAGTAAAATGCATTACGTAACATAGCACAGCCAGCAAACTTAGCTAGGAATAAAATTAGTCTACTCCTTTTCTCAAATGTCAAAGTTTGGAAGTCTACTGTAAATACAGCATTCACTCTAAAGGAGATGTCAGTTATAATTACCTTAAGTACAAATATTAGCTAGTAGCTATCTACAATATCAGACCAAACATATTCAGGACTTCCAAACAAAGAAACAAATCCTCAGTGCAAAACAATTATTTTTCCCACTTAACCCCACTGCTGACAACTGTAGATACAAGGAAGTTTTCGATCTGGTTTTCCCTACAGGAGTTTGTAAATCAGGCTTTTTCACATGGTCCCCTAAGACATGTCAAGTCCATATTCTCTTTCCCAAAGAGAAATCCAAATTAGGGTTTACTGAGCCCTTCCTGGACAGCAGAGTAGGATAGGTCTGAGTCCTGGAAAGTAAAACCAGGATGGACCTGAATTCCACTGTACCTGATGACTAATTCAAATAGTAGGAAAACCACAGTGGTCAGAAACATGTCAAAAAATCCCCTGAAAAATAAAAAACAGAAAAAACACTGAGACTCTTTTTGTAAATAACTTCCTAAAACTGAAATTTTATAAGAAGGGATCAATCCCAAATTCTTTTCAGCTCTAGCAAAGTAAAACAGAACCTGAAGATGGACAAAAGCTATCAGAAACAGAGATTCTAGTGAAAAACCATATTTCCCTGTGCCTCTGTGCTGTAACTGGAAAGCCAAGTGACAAAATCAAAAACATGAAATGCTGTTTTACCAAACACTAAGAACTTATTCTTCAGTTGTTCCTTCAACAATTGTATCAGCTCCAACTGGAAAGATGACAATGAAACACGGTTTATAGGGCAGTACAATCTTGGGGATTACATCCTGTAACTTGTTTGTTCTGGATTCTGTGGCTTTGTTTTCTCATCTCTGTCTCAGACCTGGGATGATCTGCTTACCAACTCATTCTCTAAAGAGAAGTCTTTTTGCCTGTACTTAATTCCTGTCTAGAGAGACAACACTGAGCTCTTTAAGAAAGGAACTTTTCTGTTATGCAGAACCATAAAAATTAGAGCATGTTTCTATCCATCAATAAAGCACAGCAATGTTGAACTTTAGAATCATGTATGTTGGGTGGCACTGGCATAATGGCATAATGAGAAAAATAAGTAGAAAAATTCTAATTAGAAGAAAACTTTAGAGGCTAGACAAAGTTAAACAGACAGCTGCTGAAATACTGGATGAAATGTCATCTGTAATGGTACCACCATCTCTCATTCTCATGTTCTGTGATCCCTCACTCAGCATCCAAAGGCACTGACTGCAGAATTTTCTTAGCAGCTGATCCCTCAAATGAAACACAAACATAACTGCAAAAAAACCACTGCCTTCACACTAAAGCACACGACCCACCAGCCTTCCTTCCCCAATTATATTGTCTTCACTTATCATTATTATTCCTCCAACAATACCTTAACCTTTGATGTGAAAACAATGAAAGAATTCATTAATAAAAAAACACTTTTGAGAACAGCAATATTATTTTCTTTTTCATCCTAGTAAAACACACATATGGAGGTGAAACTACAAAAAATAATGGGAAAAGGGAGCAATTTGTGTTCCAGCCTCTTGACCAGTACATTTGCACATGTCTCTCAAACAGCTCTGGAAGTTACTGTGCTGGCTCTGTTCCTTTGCAGCTGCAGGAGGCAAGATGTTCCTTCCACCTTGTACCAGTGCAAGGAAATCCCAGTCCATGAGACATGGGGTCAATGTGTTTCACCTCTGGGAGAGAAGACTGAAGCACTAGAATTGCAAAGTGCTGGTAAGAAGGGCAAGATTTGCTCTGATAACCTGTTCCCACAAGTACCTGCACCACCAGAAGGCGAGTTTGGCCAGATTGCTCTCCTTCAAGTTATGAACTTGATTCCACTGTTCCCCAGACAGCAAGAGTGACTCTGAAACCTCAGTTACATGCTTTGGGACTTAAAGAGCACAGGAGTTCCCTGGAATTTAAGCTTGCAGAGCAAGGCAGAGAAGCCCTCTTAAAACAGAATATTACTAATACATATTTTCATTTTTAAAACACTTTAAGATCCACACATTCGCTTTGCTTACAAAAAAATGTCTGTAATCCCTATCAAACAAGACAGTGCTGTAGAAGACAATCCTTTCAACATTTCTGGATAGCAGCTAAGTACTAATACATTTGCTTTTTCAATGCATTATTTGAAAATAGTAACTGGAGAGGCAGGTACAAACAGAAGAATTAGACTGCAATGGGAGGATCTTAAAAACGTTATTTCACTGAAAAGAAATGAAGTTTCCACCTGCAGTTTTATGCACTTGGCAAAAACTTCACTTCTGCAATGTTATTTTAGGACAGAAAAAATGCATGCCAGAGTTAATCTTGCAGTGGATTAGAAGCTTTGTCTGAATTTCACAGTTAGCATAAACTTAGAGCCACTATTCTACAGTAGTGAGCAGAAAGTCCAGTGAAATCATTTAAAAAGACAAGCACTGGAAAAGTTCCTTCCCTCAGTCTAGGCAACACATACAAGATTCCTGTCTGGTCAACATAATCCTCTCTTAAGTCCTTTTTTGACCAAACTAAATTCTTAGAGTTAGCTTGACTTGAACTGCATATCTGTTACTTGCAGACTACGCACTGTTCTACTATTAGCAGTATGCAAAAAAACCTCCACATTAGCTCCAGAACATGAGATTAAAAGAAAGATAATTTCAAAAGAACATCATCATAGGAAAGAAAGAAAGAAAAAAACCAAAATTTGGGGGGAAAAAAAGTATCTTATAGAGGGGTGGGGATGAAAAATCACCTCAACTCTCCAAAACACCTTTTATTCCTTTCTATGAAAGCGAATCTCCTAGGAAGCCCTCAAAGTGCTTATCTGTTAATAAACACTCTCATAACTGAATCACAAGTTCTTCTGCAGTCGGTGGCTGCAGGAGAATGCAGATGTGAAATGCATTACAAAGCACAGTGGACTCAGGCAAGCACTGCCACAAAGTGAGAGCAATAAGTGCAGCACAGAAACAGTTGTGAAATTGCTGCCTTAATTCCAAGGCACTACAAAGTGTTTTACCATCCAGATAGAGAAATATTCTTTTAATTTTATGCTATGACTGCTCTTCCTGCAGTAAGCAATAAAATACCATTAAAATGCCAATGTTACATGTGTCATATAACCAAGGAGAAGAAGAGATCACTGCCAGCTTTGCAAATCTACTGTACTTCCAGACTCTGGGAGAAAGGAATGGTTAAACAAATATTCACACAGGTTTGGAGGGCTTTTTCTACTTGTATAAATTTTAATCAGTCATATTTCTCTCCCTCAAAATGCATGCAATGTGACAAACACTAGTCAATTTCTACTGAATTGTAAGGATAGAGATACAGGGAAAGTATACAAGTTCTTTCAAAGACGGAACTGAAATCTTCCACCAGCAGGACAGGGTGCCTCCAAGTCACATTGTCTTTAAGATATTAAACCACAGAGCTGCACACTGCTGTCCAAATCACTATAAAATCATTAAATACAGTAACTTAGTCATGATAATTCTCATTAGAGTAAAAAGATACCATGAAAACTTTTGAGCTTATTTTATACAAGAGCTTTAAGGGTGCTGTTATACCTGGATTTGCCCTTTTCCCTGACCTTCTTTCATCTTGTCTATTACTCTCAATCATTTCTAACAGGTTGAAAGCAAATTTCCATAACAAAACACAGGCTTTTAAAACCCCCAAAGTCCCAAAACAGAAAAACAAACAAACCCCCAGAAAGTCGTTCATAGCTACTTGCCTCTTGGCAATTTCTGAGTATTTCCCAGGTTTAGTGCAATATATCCACAGAAAAGCAGACAGACAAATCTTGACATGATGGTCACAAACCCAACCTCGCACTGGGAATGGCTCTGACAGGTACCACACACAAGGACTGCAGCTGCATTTAAGGGAACCGTTCTCTCTGTGACAAGAGGCAGCAACACTTTGACACGAGCTGAGTTTACACAGTGGGAGGAGACAGGATGACATCATTCACTCCCACTGCAAAACCAGAATTAGCATAAAAAAATATTATCAGGCTCCCTCTGCGATAATTTTCTGGAGTTTGTTACAAGTTCTTTTCCACCACTAAGGGTGAGACCATTACCCTTTTATTACTTATATTTCATGAAAATAAAATCATGAATATCAAACTTTCTGTTAATGGAAAACTGATCTGAGAGACATTTTCACTGTTTTATCCAAGAGAGCTGGACTTAAACTGCAAAAACAGCATTTGCAGTACTCAGAGAACTGTTTGCTATATTGACCTCAGTATTTTTGCAATCTCAACATTTTTCTTAAGGTTAATTCAGGCTACTTGTGGCTTTCATCCAGGCAAAATAAATACTAGTTTAATTTGACATGACATTATAAACAGACGTTGTAAATATTTATTCAGCAAAAGAACTGGACTTGAAAAATCGAAATGTCATTTTTTCACTTGTATCTAGTGCTGGCAATTTAAAAATACCTCATAATTTTCCCTTTCATAAGTGTCTGGTGAGTTAATGGGTACAACGCACATTGAAAGGAATAAAGCAACACTTCTCATTTCAGGGTGATCTTCTCACCACTTACATAACTTCAGATAGAAAAGAAATTCCATTTTTCCATTAAAAGCTGTTGTATTCCAGGTTTACAATGAACCAAGTAAGCACAGCATTTGGTCCCACTCACAAGTGAGAAGATGGGAAGGAAAGGGTAAAGCAGAAGAAAAGGAAGAATTTAGTCTCAGTCTCTGGAAAAGATTCCAAAGAGATTAAATCTATTCAACTAAGTAGTGATAGCTCTCTCTCTTTCTCCCTCAAAATAAAAACCCCAAAACCAAACAAGGAACAACCCAACAAACAAAGAAAACTGTCCCCAAGGGGAAAAAAAAAACCCACAAAAAAATCTAACCAAAACCAAACCAAAAGAATCATCAACAACTAAACTTAAACATATCTCTTGCTTACAATATGTGAAGTTCTTCAGTAGGCTTAGTCTGCTCCCACTCCCTGCTTGACTGGACCTGACATTGTTCTGCTCCCATAGTGTTTATAAGCAGGGAAAATCACAGAGCTCATACCTGGGATAGAAACTAGTAGTTTAAAATAAAAAAGTAATATCTTGAAACATATGAGAACATTTCTTAAAGATCAGATTAATCATGTACTTAAAAAGACCCCATGTTTGCCACAATTCAAGAAGAACTTCACTAAAGAAACCAGCAGTCATTGTCTTAGAGGCAAACCTGAGGAATTTCAAGCTCTTCTAATCAATATGGACAGGACACAGCTTAACAAAAACAGCTGGACTATGGGAATGTGTCCCAGACTCATCATACTATCTGAATTTGGACATAAGGAAACGTTGTTATTATTCACTAACTTAAGTCTGGGAAGAGCGACTTGAAAGTCAATATTTGAGACAGACCCCAAAAAATCCCCAAACACTATTACCTGAAGGATCTTTGAGAGGATTCAGATCTTAAATATGAACACTCTGCACAGGTAAATGAGACAGGTACAATTAGAAGGAGATGAAAAGACGTTTGAAAGGCCATACAGCTAGACAGGGGTCTCCCAAAACAACACACCAAAAGAGTGCTAAATGGCAGAAAGATGGATACAGAGAGCAAACATGTCATTCTTATTGTTTTTTAAGTTGAAGTACTATTTTCAAAAATGTTCCAGAAACCATATTCTATTTTTTCTCTTCAAAATTAAAAAATAAGAAATCAGACATTTGATGTAACTGTCTCTTGGGAGGAATAATGGGAAAAATTGCTCCATGGTCACACAGAGCTGTCTTTGTATTAGTGTAAACTGGACTCTCCTATTTGTCTTAGGGCAAACTCACTTTCCTTCAAAAGATTACACAACACCTTCCAAACAAATGCACAAAGGCCAACTTCTACTCAGAGAAATCTTAGTGAAACAAACATATTAATTACTTGCCTACCTCACAAGCCCTCTCGTAGATAAATATGGTCCCATCCCTGTTTTCACAAACACTTGCTTCTCTGCTGCCACTTACATCTTACTTCTTCCTTCTTGGTGCATTATCCAACCATGTCTTCTCTGCTTAGGTGTTCCATACAGATATTTAGCCTTCCCCTTGAGACCCTGGCAGACTGTGCAGGTCCCTTTCCCTCTGATCCCTGTAGAAGACAGCTCTCCCCAGCCCAGAGTTCAAAAACCCATGCCAAGATGCATTTTCTTCTGTCTTATCAAGGATATGCCTTGACAGGGACAATTTTGGTATAAGCAGATGCAAGTATAACTTTCCATTAAATATGTCAAGAGTACAAGAATCAGTTCTATAATATCCTCTTATCATTTTCTAATACGTTCCCCTCATCTGCACCATCCATAGATGACAAATAGAAAATCACTGATTTTGTCCACTTCTTTTCTTGCAGGACTAACCTTTCCTAGGAAACTTCTGCTACATGAAAAATGAAAAAAAAAAATTTCTTTCTCCTAAAGGAAAGCTTCTGCTTTCCTTTCTCCTAAATCCTCCTGCCATGTCAATGGATATTGACTACCACAGTGCAAAACTAAACAAGGGAACATAAGGGAGTTGCTGGGACTTCAAACACTATCCTGCACTTCCATAATGCTGTTCAGGTACCCAATTTCTCCTCCAATTTACTTCCTCAGGTATCCAGTTCTCTCCTCCATTGAAACAGAGAGAGAATCTGATTTCCATTCACAAAGTTTTTAAACCTAGCATATTCCTCAGGTTTCTCTCATTCACACAGGCCTGGAAGTACGTTACCCATCCTTTGGCTCCACAGAAGGAAAATATCAAACCAAGAAGATTCAGTTAATGACAGTTTTGTGTTACACCTTTAACATAAAAGTCGAGAATATTGAGATAAGCGCAGGAATGAAAAGTCTCAGGCAGATCAAACAGGAAAAGACAAAACCTCTGATCCTCGAGTGACTCCTCCTTTTCACCACCAAACTAATGTTTAAGTAACAAAACCAAGAACTCAAAAGTTTACTTGATTACCTCAACTGGTTCTCTGTGGCTTAGATCACAAAAAATGGAGATTCCAACAAGATAGTATCACAGCACATCTGGGGGCAAAGCAGAGCTTGTCTAGTCCTCTTTTAACAGGTCCCAGACCAGCAAGTACAACGAAAACAAAAGTATGGGAAGAAAAGAGGAAAAAGAGGAAGAAGAGCAGGAGACAAGATTTTACATTCTGTTTCCAAATACAAATATGCTTTTGTTGAGATTTGGGTTCAGTCCCAATTCACCTATCATTCCTGATTATTTTGACAAGCAAAAGCCAAGGTGCCTCAACTCCTTGCTGTTCTAATTTAAAGCAGGAAGAATGTGCAAAGAATAACATTAACAAACAAAATCCTGTCTTCACTTTGAAAAGCACAATAATGCCATGTGGAGCTCTCCAAGGGTAAAGACTTACTCACAGTACACTTGATCTGCTTTTTCTCAGAAAATTTCTGGTTGATACTGTACATTTCAGCAATGTTTTTCAATTATTTGTGAAGTGTGTTTTTCATAAAATATGCTATATAAATGTTAATTACAATTTCCATTCTCTTATGGGTGACTCAATTATTGGACTCTCTCTTGCAAATATCATGGGATCTCCTCTAAAGACCTTCAGGAAAAAGAGATGCCAAAGAACATTCTTTCAGATGTGCTGTTTATAGAAGAAAAAGAAGAAAAAAGAAAATTGTAACTCTACTTTCTAGAAGTCTGTAATTACTTTTTTCCAATATTCCATTCTCATTTTGGTAAGGAAATATTTGAGCTCTCAAGCTATGAAAAATACAGGGTTCACACATTAGTCTATTAGTCAAATGTAAGACATATTCATTTCATAGCATAAAAGACAAAGACAAGACATTCTAGTGTCCTTATCCCAAACTGATTTCCAGAATTCCAAATTAATGGGATCTGAAACAAAGTGAAAAGAAGAAATTTAGTGAAAAGGAGTGGACAGAACCTATTCTTGTGACATGTTTTACATAGTTCAATCTCTTTCAGCACTCACTCATTTGACCTCATTTCAGATAGTGACTCGTCTTTTTTAACAGGCAGTGTATTTCACCAAAATTTTGTACAACATGGAGTGAAATAACAAAATCCCATTTATTTAATTTCTCTATTAAGTGTTTATTTTCTCTATTAAGCATTGACTTATTGTTCCCTTCGTAATGCAAGTAACGTGTCACACTCAGTTCTGCAGTTTTGGTAACATTATCATGACCTGCCACATGAAGAACCAACACAACTCCAGGTTTTCCACAGTGCCACTCCTCTCTATTACCAAGATTCTGTATTATTTTATCTGGGGCTTATTTTGCCTTTTAAAATTATTTTTTAACCATCAGGTTTTGACTGACTCCAAGGAAGAACTCAGCAGAGTGTCACTAGGCTCCTGGTACCATCCACACAGGGGAAAAACATTTTTCCCTTATAATCAGCCTAAACCTCCCTTGTTTTAGCTCATTCCTGTTTTTTCTCACACTCCCACCACACAGCAATGTGAGGAGCCTGGCTCCATGTTCTTGCCCACCTCTTGGGAAACCCTGTAAGGGCTGCTGTTAGGCTCCCTTATCCCACCTGAGCAAGTCTCTGACCATCTTGCTTGCCCTTCTCTAGACTTGCTCCAGTTTATTGTGGTCCGTCCTGAATTTGGGGGTGTGGTGAGAGACCAACACTGGGTGCTGCCTAGCTGTGTAATTCACCATGTGGTAAGTAACGGTGGGAAATTGCTTCCCTCACTCTCCTGGCCATGCTCCTGTTCATACAGCCCTGGGCACTGCTGACCTGCCCTGCTGCCAGGACCCACTGCTGGCTCCTGGGCAGCCTCCTGCCCACCAAGATCCCCCTGCTTTTCACCAGGCTGCTCCCAACCAGCCAGTCCCCAGCCTGTGTCACTGCAGGGGTTAATCCCAAACAGA